TGTGCACCTGTTTCGCTTGGGGAGCAACGGATTCTGATAAAGTAAGTTTTTATCTATTTATTCATGTGAAAATTACGTAGTTACACGAGTGGTGCAACGGAATCCGTTTTCTAAGCATCTTTTGGATGCTCATCCTACGGCCTACAATTAATGTAGGATCTTTATCATAAAATACAAGAAGTTTTATAGAAAAATATCGCGATTTGTGAACACAAATTGACGGGTATTTGACACATAAAAAATGTCGCTTCCATACTTCGACCTTTGTTTTGCATGATGGCTATTAGTTGAAAACATGAAAGATTTAAACTTCGATCTTTTCGGATGTAAATAGTCAAATTGCCACAAGAAAACGTCGAGGAGTTGACGTAAAAACCCACCCACCCACCCATAATGTCGATTCAACGTCATGCATGACAACATGAATATGGACATGGCCCCTTAGACAATGATAACCAACGTGTAGATGCAACAAGGCTCATAAATTTCTAGATATATTTGGAATCCACTTGTCGACATTTGTGCTTCTCTCATTCCTTTGTTTTTAAGAAGGTCATTGGAAATATCCACTAATTATAGCAGTACTTCATGAGTGCTGAACATTGTGCAGTTAAATTGCGTGTAGACCTGGGTCTTAGCTAGGATTTTAGATCTTGGGCATGTTTCTAAATGAAGGGTGTACACATGTCAACCTTGAATAGCCAAATTCACGGTTCTAGTTATACTCGCCTGCAACAGACAATGCCTATGGTTATTGTATACTTTGCAACCAAAACCTTATTTTTTGAACCTACACAGGCTTATTATAAATAATGAAGTTGTGTTCATTTTATCTAGCTGTGTTTTTCTATTTTTGGCTGCAATAAGGCGTAAAAAAAATACCTGTGGTTCCAGTTCCTGACCGACCCTATTTTTTTCTGCCGACCCTATTATTTTTTCAATGCAGTTGACCATGCAACCCTATTTTCTCTGGGTGGTTGCGGGCTGCTGCCAAAATGAAAAAAATTGAAAAAATATTCAAATTATTGAAAAAAATATTCAAAAAGAAATTATTTCCGACCTACCAACCCTAATTTTTTCGCTATATGAAACCGAAACCACAGGTATTTTTTTACGCCTAATGCGGCCAACATGGCCCTCTAGCTAAGACCCTGATGTAGACATTATGGTGAACGTCAACCAAGGAACATATAGTTTTTGGATTAGCTGCTATATCAATATCTATTGCTTAATTAATTAAGGACAAAAAAATAATAATTCAAATAAAAAGTGCATTTACCCTACTGGGTAATCTACTACCGCCAGTCCTCAAAATTAGTGACGGCCAAACAGCAATTGCCGCCGAAAATGAAATTATATTTTTTGGCATTACCTTCTTTATTTGATTGATTCTTCTAAAAGCTTTGCTGCAGTATTTTATTAATATGAACACTGAACAGATGACTATAATAAGGAGAGTCCTTAAATAAGAGCCCGTAAATAAGAGCCCGTAAATAAGAGTCCGTAAATAAGAGTCCTTAAGTAAGAGTCCTTAAATAGTTTTTGTTAATACTTCTTGTAACTTCATACCAACATATACACTCAGCTGGCCACAAGTGAATTATGTTGTGTAGTTTTAGAACAATATTGTTTAACAGAGTGAGTCTGCACAGGCGGTAAATACTGTATATCTTCTATTTTTTAAGTATTAGGGGTGCACCAGAACCGGTTCTGGCTGGTTAGTTCCAGCTGGAACCCCGATTTTTCAGATTTCCTGTTCCGGCCGGAACCGGAACTCTGTTGTATTCAGAGAGATAGAATATTAAACTTTTTATGTCTAACAAAAGTTCACAGTAGGAAGAAATTTGGACTACGCAAGGAAAATACTGTATACACCATTAACACTTCATTATATGACGTTTAACGTTTGTCAATCTTTTTATTCTAACATTTGCTAACTCTCTCCTTGATGACTTGACGTGTCTGCTTGTCTGGCAGCGGACAAAGTAACATATTCAGTTCTGGCCAGGACTTTTTTCCAGTTCCGGTCGGATCTGGTTCGCCAGCCGGAACTTAAAAAATTGGTTCCGCTGCACCCCTATTACTTTATATCTTCTATTTTTGAAGCATTTAACTTTTAAAGAAAAAGGTGCTGTCGAAATTGCCGCTGAACAGACATTTTTTGCAGACGAGGATTTAAAACAAATTATGCTGCTTAAAGATTTAACTATCAGGATGCATTAATGAATTGGCAGATGGTCCGATTAACTCATTGAGTGGCAGCACTCTCTCACCCTGTTGCCGCTCAAGGGATATACTTTGTGGAAGTTACTAACAAAGAAATAAGCAAAATTAAAATAAATTCAGCCCCCCCCCCCCAAAAAAAAACACAAAAGACTTGTATAAAAATACTAAAACAATACTTTGCCTCAGACTCGGTGATTATCGGGGAACATTCACCTTGACTTCGTCTCGTTTATTCCCCAATAATCACCTCGAATAATTGTTAAGTATTATTATTTATATGTACAGTAATACTTGTATTATAATGACATGGAAAGCAATGATGTAAAGCTTTAATAATAATCCACCTTAAGTAAAAAAAATACAGTGGACTTACAAATTCATAAACATTGTAAAACCATCTATATTACAATAAAAATTTGTATTTTTAAAAAGGTTCAGTTGCCAAAGGCACAGACGACGATTATATCCTTCAGTTCAGAGAATAATGCAACCTACTGTACATTCAGCCTAAAATTACAGAACCGTCTATTACAGTAGTAATTTAAAGTTTATTATTAAAAAGTTTAACTGCACGAAGCATAAACGATGATTTATGTCTTTCGGTTCTGGAAATAATGCGACCTACATTAGAATTTTTAGTTCTAGTGGAATAGTCATGCTTCTGTGCGATAGGGACAAGGTGGTGACAGGGATGGTTTACGTCCTGAGTAATTGCCTCCATTTCTCGAAGAGTTAGCTTATCTCTTCTCTCACTAAGCGGGTGAGGTGTATCGACCGGTAAACCAATACTACATAAGCTTCTCCTTTGAATACGCTCAAGGTCGTTCACTAAATAATGAGGTACGCCACCCCAAACTTGTGCGGCATATTCAAGCACTGGACGAATTTTGGTGCAGTAAGTTGCCAATCCTACTTCAGTAGGAAGGTGAGCCTTCCTGCACTGCCTTAGATGACACAGTCTCCTGTTTCTCTTACGAGTAATTTCTTTGATGTGAGAATTCCATTTCATGTTACTTTGACAGCTAACACCGAGTAACTTGAATGAATTAACTCTTTCGATCATAACATCCCCGATATAAAGATTGGGAGGTTGTGGGATAGATTTCCCAAAGCAAATCCACATATCTTTCGTTTTCTTTGCGTTCAACTTCATTCTATTAGCGTTTGACCAGTTCTGAACGGAGTCTAAGACTTTCTCAAACTGCATAGTTAGATCCAATAGATATAACTCCGTCGTATATGCTGGGATCTAGCCAGGTCTCAGAAATACATATAAGGTCATATAATGTCTATAAATAGACCAATTGCGAAACTTAGTGACCGCGCCTTCAACTGCACGAAAACGAGGCTTATTATGCAAAAACAAATCATTCTGCTATGTTTTTATCTGGTGAAAAATCAATTTCAGTGTTTGAGACGCGTTTTATGGTAATCTCTTCATTTTTTTCAATATTTTTGTTTTGACTATGTAAATCTTTATTAAACTTGTTCATAGATTTAGTCTTACTTCAAATTTCATTGTTTTTTTGCGGCGTGCGAGGCAAAGTTTTGCTGTTTTTCGCCGTCCGATAAAAGA